CAACCTTGTTGTCGTGATCTCTGTTTTCAATTGAATTTTCTTTGTGCTTGATTAGGCCTTCGGATCATTAAAGCTCTGATACCATGTTGGAAGAGATAAAGAGAAAGAAAAAATCTGGAAAACTTCTCTTTATTTCTCGACAAGTATACATGACTACAATTGACACACTTATATAGATATACAAGAGACACAAGTGAAGAGTTGCGTCTTTTACCCCTTGTGACTTTTAAACTAAATAACTACCTTTCTTCTTTGACAAGTTACAACTTTTGCATACTCCCTCACGTACATGTATTATGTTACAATACATTTAAACTCAATTATAAACTAACAGTTGCCACTCATACATTTTCCACACGAATGTTTTAAGATGGAACAGCAAACATCCCGGTACACATGTCGGTTGGATCCATTTCAAACCCAACAGATCTATATTACAATCCCTACTAGGCTGAGATCAAAGCAATTGATATGATATTAGATCATCAAAATACCTGAAAGTGTAGCTCTGGAAGAAGAAAAAACTAATGAAATTGCTTACCTCGATGAGCTTGAGGATCTGCAATTTAGGAGAACTATCGAGCATGAACGAAAGTAGATTCCGCCAGTTTTTTTTGGTCTGTACTTAGCTCCAAAGATACCAGCTGATAGACCAGCTGATAGAAGATAGTACCAGTAGAATAGTTAATCTGTGCATGGGACAAACATTAGGATAATGTTATCCCAATTGCAAGGAAAAAACCCACCGCGATAATTTGAAAACCATATACTTACCTTTGTGGATGATAAGGTAAGACGTTTGGCTGAAGTTAGAGATGCCATAATGTTCTCATTGGTTATGTAAGAAACGTTAACTATTTTTGCCTCCAACAGGCGCATTCTCAATCAGACACCTTTGATGTTCAAGTATTTTAAAGAAGGGGCATTTATCACATAGCCTCCCTCACCTTCTCCTGGAAAATAATCTGCTATGGTTAGTCTCTGTAATGATGGCACCTCAATAGTGAAAGTCGACACATCGATATAGCTTTTTTGTGCTACGAACAAATCTTGAAGACTAGGGCAGCCACATAAAAAAGGTTGCAAACAGATTCTCTGTCTTTGAATTCCACAAATTCAAGGTGCAAGCTCTCTAAGGGACTTCAAGCAAACCCGAGAAGGAAATTCTAAAAGAACGTAATACTTGAGCTTCAAGGTCTCAAGTGTGTTGTTACAGCTAAACACGACCATTGGAAATCTGACTGCCCTTCCTCCTCCCTATGATCAACATGCAGTACCAATTTACGGACATGGCGCG